CCGTGGGACTCTTATGCGTATAACAGCAGTGTAAGAGTCACCTAGTTGACCCTGCATACCGTTGAATGGTAAACGTACTACTTACCGAACTGTCTCGTCTCGGTAGTGAGTGATCTTGAAATGCTCTTCCACGGCACCTTCAGCTACGGTAGTAATCCTCTCCGAATGGACGTTCTCAATTTCCCAAAACTTGGACATCGTGTCGTTTAGCATTTCTTCGTGACGATTGAGCTAACACACACGCGGGTATGATTTGTCTTTCCTGGTCGGCACCGATCCTCCTACAACCCATCCGAGTTCCGTTTCGTCTAGTGTTATGCCATAGCAGCCGAGCTTCAAACGAACTTTGTCGACAGCAGCTTAACTTGGATTTAGATATTGTTCAAACCACTAGATCCAAGCCGGCGTCGGTGGTGTAGTGGTAAGCGTGACTGCTTTCTCACCCCAATGGGTCTGGGTTCAATCCCAGCCGAGGTCGGTGGGATTTTTCTGAGGCATAAAAATCTGTGGTCACGTCTTCCTTCGGAAGGGAAGTAAAGCCGTTGGTCCCGGCCCATGTGTGTTGAATGGGTGCAATATCCTACGCAGGTGTGGAAGCTGGCTTCCTGCACATTCGATTGCCGTCAATGGATGGCAACCGATGTCCGTCGGTGATTGGCACTAGATTACGGAACAGAGACCGACGTTAAATAAATAAAGGAAAAAAACCACTAGATCCAATTTCAACTGCAGTTTGCTAGCCAGCTTCTCGGTGATAATATTGCCGGAGTCCAACAAAGCTCGAAACTTCACAGTTTTGTTTCCCTTCCCTGCAACCATCACTTGAGCCGTGGACAACCCGACTTGATGCTTGTCACCACCAATCTCGCCACCAATGTTGGCGCCCAAAACAGTTGCACTACGCTGCTGCTCAGGAACATTCTGCTGATTTTGAGGTTGCGCTGCGGGTTATACTGCATGAACTTCGTTTGATTCTTCCTTCTTCTCTGGAACTGTACCGCTGGGAGCATCCGTGTAGTGCAGCAAGCTGTGGTGCTTGCGACCGCCAGCTTTACATCCCCGATCAGACGGACAATTTACGACACGGTGGTTCGCCTTCAGACATTTGATGCACAAATTTGCCTTCGCTACAACGGCCTTCCTTTCTTGGAGCGACATATTCTGGAATATTTCACAGCAATGGATCGAATGCTGTGCTTTACAATACGAACACGTCTCCTTTGCGACTTGTACGAACGTTGCTGCTGTGCGCGGTTTGTACGGTAGCTCTCCGTTGCCCAACTTCGATTCCTGTTGCTCTTAGGTTTCGTTATCGAGCTTTTTGTACAGAACATTAAGCAGCACAAGTTCGGCTAAGCCCTCAACAGGGAATCCATGGCCGCTAAGGGCATCAGCATTCCGTAAACTTCAACCAGCTTGGAAAGAGATCTTCCACGATTATCTTTTCTTCTTTTTGCACAGTCCAACATGGCATCGATGTGGGTGTCCATAATTAGGCGCTTGTCTTCGTAGGCATTTTCCAGAATTTTCCACGTGGTTTCATAACTTCTGTTGTTAACAACATCTTGATCGATCTTGTCTCTGGTTTCACCGGTAAGTGCGTTTCGAAGGTGCAAGATTTTCATAGCGTCAAGCTCATTTTTGCACCTAGCAAAAATGCTGTGGAACAAGCTCTTGAAGCTGAATCAGTTCTCAGGCTCTCCACCAAAGCTGGGAAATGGTGCGTGTAGTTGAGGCGCTGGGGCTTGTACGTACACTGAGGTTGGAGGTCCGGGAGCCAACGGCTTTGGCACATTCCGCACTTCTTCCACTTTCATCTGCTGCTCTGCTTGGTTGATCCATAAAGGTAACTCTAAGACTAGTAGGTCCCGAAGAAACGTGCTCAACTTTTTGGCTCAGCTCTGGTACTATCTTCGGTCCCAAGCTAATCGATTCACCCCTCAAAACATAGGAAAATCCAATAACTCCTCATTTTATCTGTCAAACTTTCATAGCGAATCAAAACAAACATTGTGTAGTACTAGAATTTTGACTAGAATGGGATACGTTAATCGATTTGCTTGGGACCAATAGGCTAGTCAAGTAGTGAGCCAATTTAAAATCGTTAGTTTCGTATTGATTGTTGGTTGATCCTTGTCTGCATCTTCACGTATACGTCGTTGCAAAAGCTCTATACATCATTTTGCGGAATGCTGTTGAAGAAAAAAGTTAGAGGCAAATGAATGTAAATGAATGCACGAAATGAATGCAAACGATTTTCCATGCCTGCGTTGTGCAACTCTTCGAAGTTCGTGTAATCCTTCCACTGTGCTGTGCGCTGATATCTCGGCAACTGGACAATCATTTCGGAGTACGCTTTCTCAAAATCATTTACAGTTCGCCGCAAAGTCTCCAGATGAAGCCTGAGCAGGTGAACGCTGATGTTCTCTTCCTGCAAAGACTCATTCATCCATAAAAGCTTGTCGAGCAGCAACGTCTGCCGATCCAGCAAGGCTTCCAGATTGAATTCCATCCTTCGTTGTCTTTCGATTTCCTGTTGAGTGGCTTTTTGCTGGGCAATAGTAAGCACTTTATCCGCTCCTGTACTTTTCGACCCCGTGAGAGCGTTTGCAGCAACTTCCGAGAACGAAAACAAGGGACTTCCGTCGATCACAAAAGCTCGTTTCATTCTGATTTTTTTCTCGTTACAGTGTTGCTGGTTTAGCAAAAACAAATTGTATTAAGTACTTCAAATAAAAGTCACTGAAAAGTTTAAAATGAGTTAAATTTTACTCTGCGCTACTGTCCATTCACCTACAAAAGCTTCATGGGTTGTCTTATAATCTTATGCTTGAAGAACATTCATTCAAACTTGTTTAAATTCGATAAAAATTCAAAAGAAAATTTCAATTTTTCAGGCATAATTTTCTACTAATGGGGTAAGATGGTTACCGTAAATCATATCATAGATGGTGCGACCATACCGCATGATATCCCAAATTGGTGGTTAGGCGCTTCTTATGGTTATTGTTTATGCGGGTAGTCCTATGGGGAAAAAGAGCACCAGTATAATTTTAGGCATAAATAGCCTTATTGTTGAAAATTAGGTAAATACTGTAAAGTCCCTAGTCTAGTCTAGTCTAGTCTACACATACACAGCCAGTACTTGAAAGAATCCTGGAAATGATAGAAATACATCTATCATTTTCTTGTCATTATTAATGCCTGCTGCACATCAAGGATGTGAAACAAACAATAAAGCGGCCAGGCCTACTGTGTAGCGTTTAGTTAATTTTTGTGGAAGTGAATGTTTACCATGTCTACTTAATAAGTATAGACAGTGGTTAACATTTAATCCACAGGTAATCAAAGAGCGGGGACATACCGTACCAACCGCTCCGTATGCAGGATTTGAAAATAGGCTATATAAGTCGTTGGGAGTGACAGAGCTAAGAAAGTTAATGTACACTCCTTGGTTGTCCGATCTCCTGGGATGGAACACAGGTATTTACCCCTTGTGTTCGAGCGTACAGTCCTCCCTCCGTACAAGCGTGGACGGCACCGCCCACCCACTGCCATCCCTCAATCGATCCAGCCGACCTCAGTCGAAGGACAACAGAGAGCGGTGTGCGGACGTAACCTATACGGAGGGAATACTGTATTCGCCTAGGTTATAGCGCCCTTGCTCGCTATTCGTTATTCGCTGTCTACAATGAGAAGAAACAATGCATGAACTTACAACACGCCCCGCATACACGTACTACCGATATAAAATGTATATTGGTACTGCGTGTACACTTCCATCATCAAAGCAATTCCTGCTTTGTAGATGTCACGTATTTAGTAGGATGTCTCCTAAAAAAAATAGGATGTCTAAAATCCATAGGATGAAAGTTAAGTCTCATCCGAATCAAATGATTCCAAATGCTACGGATTCATAGAAATTAAGTTTAAATAGATAAAAGTAAAAAACAAAAAAAAAAGGAACAATCTCACCAAATCAGTCCAAGTGAATCCTTTGCAAGCAGCTCTGTCACGTTTGGTGTAGTAGTTCCGATCATAGACCCGCCTTACGGGGATCACAGGTTTAATATAGTCAATTGCTCCTTGACGCAAACACGAAGTGACCGCTCATAAAATCATACAACGCATAAATAAACTGAACTTAAAAACTATCACTCGCGATGCCACAAATTTCTGGAGCGGGAGCATAAGCGAAATCAAATTACAACTTCACAAAAGTCGAGAAAAAACGGAGCAAAAATTGACGGCTGAAAATTTTCCATGTCTTTCTTCGAGCACATCACACTACGATCAGGTAAATACTGTAAAGTCCCTTTATTTAAATTTATTTATTTCATGGTTCATCAAAATAACACAACCTTCTTTTAATTCTTTATTATGGAAATTAAATAACACAATCTTTCAATTCAAAATTTTTTCAAACTGTTTTTTACCTATATATTTGAACGTTTATCATAAATTAGTCTTAACAAGGATGCATGATAAATTTCGTTCAATTGTTGTGTATGGAATGAATTCTAGGCATTGGTACCCTGATTCATTGATGGTGCACATCTTGCCCCATATAATTGAATCGTCATAATATGATTTATTAAATTCAAATTTGAATATGGCACCTCCACACAATATTGAACAAGGGTAACAAAATGTTATTGTATAACCTTCAATCAGAAAAAAAGATCATTAAATCTTATTTTTACGTAGTATGAAAACTTACTAGCGAAATGTTTTACATACATTTCTACCAAATTAACTGTCAAAATTTTGTGGTTAAGAGACGATGCTCGTCTTGCTCTTTACGGCCACCTTACCCCACTTTGCCCTTTAGCAGGTTAAAATGCAATTTTTACCTAAAATTTCGTTTTCTGAATGTTTGCCTCCAATGTTTTTACTCTCAACATTTGAATAAAAAAATATATCACCTCAAAGTATCCGGTTAATAGTTGAAAGTCATTGAATCAACACATGCATAAATGAATATTTAACCTTGTTTTCAGAAATGTTGCCATGAAAGTGCAAGACACGGTGGCGGGTTTGAATCATGATGATACCAGTAGCTGGCAAAATGCACTGCTTATGATTTTGGAAACGTATCACGTCAACGTAACGACATTGGATAACACTATTCCAGTTGATGATTATCTGGACCAAGCGGTCGGGTTTCAAGATGCGTACAATTTTCCATCGTGTAATCCACCAAGGTAATGTTTAATGCTTCGTACAAGTGAACTGATACAATACATTCGATATCAAACATTGTAGGTCAATATTGTTCTGCACAACGTCATTGATAGAACTTGCCAAATGTTCTTGGATGCAAGAGGTTGCTTCGGTCTATGGAGTGGAACCGAATATACAGTGCATGCGGTCTGAAACGTTGGATACTTGTCTTAAAAATGTACACCACAAGGTGTCTGACGTGGTCGTGGTGGATCAAGACACTCGGCTTAGAGCAGAACGTGATTACAAGTTGAAACCGATTCTTTACGAATACGCATCTACGCTCGAGGACAAGTATGTTGTGGTTGCGGTAATTCGAGCAGGATCGAAGATCAAAACGGGATTCGGTATGTTGTTATTTAGTATGTTTGAGAAAAACTGCTGCTTAAGGTGAAGTTCATTGTTTCAGATTTGCGGGGCAAGAAGGCTTGTTTTCCGAGTTATCAAGGAGCGGCGTATTTGTCTGTATTGGAGTCACTGATGAATCATACGAATTTTATTGATGAGTGCACTGATGTATCCAGTTATTTCTCATCAAAGTCTTGTAACTGGAACACCGGATCTAGATGCTCCAGTGCTTATAATGGGGAAGAAGGAGCCTTAAGATGCCTCTTGGAGGGAGCCGGAGATGTGGCATTCTTTAGCTATGAAACGTTTAAGAAATTCAAAGGTAAGTAATCATGCAAAAAAAAAAAAAAAACAAAAATCTCAACTTCAACCCAATAATAATGTTGTTGCGGCACACGACAATCATAGACCTTCGGACGCCTTTTTAGCAAACCCAGTTTGTTTTGTGGGAATATGCTTTAAGCTATAAATTTTATTTTAATTAGTTTTAAGTGTAAAGTAGAATATATAGAAATCTTACATTGTTTAGTCCAATTTCAATTTGTTTATCGTGTTCCAACTTCTTGTATATATCCTCGATTATTGTCTATTAATTTAACACAATATTTAGTTCCATGTATGTTATTCAATTTCGTATACTTACAATTGTGTGTAGTTCAAATCTTAGTTTAATGTAATTTGTTTTATTAATCACTGACTACAAACTTTTCCAATAATATACTTCTTTTTCATCTTTCTTTTAACCTACCATCTACCAATGACATTCCAACGCTGTCAACTTGCATATGAAAATGCAATAACTGCACTTTGTTGTGAAATGTGCTATTTTCAAACACAATTATACTCTATGGCTCTATATCTAAATTTCCATATAGAACATATTTTCGACCTGACTGGAAAATTGAACCATTGAACCCTCTATACATTCAGTATGATACGATTTGCAAACGTGTTCTTATAATTTTCTATTTTTTCAAATTTCTGACATTTTTTTTCTCGACTGTACTTAAGTCCATAGTTTATAACACCTGACCAACCATTAATAGTTAACTCATCACCGCTCTGTTTATTTTAGGAAACGAGTTCCAATGGGCACACAAGCACACGCCATCGGAGTTTAGCTTGTTCTGTCCATTCAACAAACCTTTAAAATCGAAAGCTGTTTGTTACTTGAACTGGGTATCTCGTGGTCACATCATGATTAGTGACTCTGCTTCGGTGTTACGTGAAAAGGAAATCTACAATTCGTTGCGGGAGATTGACAGACTTCTGGGGAAAAAGCATCGTGTCACATCAGTTCCATTCACTCTGTACGGAACATTCGACCGCAGAACTAATGTTATTTACAGGTGACTTTTATATTTCTGCCTACTGGGTTGCAGTTTTCTAACTTTTTTTGCTTTTTCAGAGATGGCACTGAGTCTCTCCGGGGTCAAACTGAAATGTATCGTGATAGGAATGCCGGCCTACTTGATTCGATTTATTCAAGGATAGCGCATAAAAACTGTACTCACAGCCATGCCACCAGGACAGCGATGTCGTCAGCATTAGCTATCAATGCCATATTGATTTTTATTTATTCCTCGTTTTACCTTTTGTGATCTCCAGTGACTGAATAGCTTTTGAACGTTAGTGAAAAAACAATTTGTGATATTATTTATACTTAAACAACGCAATAAAGCATTTTAAGAGACATCCAAAATGATTCACTTTTACGAGCTGTTTGATGATCTATCTTTTCGGAATTTTCTTCATTGCTTATTACTTGCGTCTTATAAATTATACTTAATAAAGTGGATTGTTTTCAGACTTACGGTTTTTTTTTCATCACTGCAAGCCCAATTTTACAATTGCAGCGTACGATTGAATTTTTGAAATTGGACAACTTTCACAGCAATTTTTTATCCTTTGATATATCGTTTGTTTTAATCCTTGTTGGCTTGGTAACTGCAGGCAATGTGTTCGTATGACGGGTTGCATACTTACGTAGGCGCTTACCAATTGAACATTGTGAAACATTTCAATCGAGAAATGTTTCGATAGGGAAGGGATGAATCTTAGATAAACACAAATAAAAACGCGATCCGGTCGTTGCACGGTCGATGAGATAAACTCAAAATTGAGTGGTTTTTTATTCAAATTTGCAAAAACGTACTCGGAGAAAAAATACTACCCAAAATTTTAGTTCTTTTTACTTCATTTTGAGTTGAATCTTGCTTTTACTTCCACTGGTTATTATTGTAAAAAAAAAGTAACGAAAAATTCGACCCAACGATATCGTTCAGCCCAATATGTTACATTTGAGTTAATAGCATAATCTCAAATTTACGTGAATTAATCTTAATTTTGAGAAGAATATGCTTAAGGGGCTGTTCATAAACTACGTAGACAGTTTAGGGGGGGGGGGGGGGGGGTTTGAGAATTATCCAAGGCCCATACAAATTTTAAATTTTTTGTATGGACAATTGTCTACGCAGGGGGAGGGGGGGGTCAAGAATCCCAAAAAAACTGTCCACGTAGTTTATGAACAGACCCTAAGAGTAAGTATTTTTTGCTGGTGTTAAATGGAAACTACTATATGCCATTTTTTCATATTTGATTTATTGGGCTGAAGCCGGGAGTTGATTTTTCCATAGGACACTCATAGACTGAATAAAATTGTCCTTGCTTTTCCTCAAAAATGTTCTTGAAAAATCGGTGAAAATTGTACTCTGCTCAATTGTACAGTAATCCCTCCATGTATTTAGTGTCATAAACTAGTTATCTAAAGAAAATCAGCACAATTGGTTGAAGGACAATAGACTGAATGAAACCTCTCTCGATTTTCCTCATAATCGAAAAGTTTTTCCTGGAAAATCGTGTACAGTATTGCGAATTTGAGTGAATGGAGCTGAAATATGAGTTATATTCAACGGCCGTGTACATTTTTATCGATTTACTGAAAAACATAATCAAATCACCGCATATAAATTGGGTTCTTTAAGGGTATTGAGGTAAACGCATATTCGTAATCTGCATTAAAAATGGAATCCAAACCCAAAATTTCATCAATTTTGGTACACTGGAACTATTTTAAATGAGTACGATTACATTTGCAAAAATCACCTTATTAGCGCCCCTCGGTGTCACTTTGTATGGGAGCGAGCTGTCAGTTTGTTAGTTTAGTGTCAAACAGTGAAGATATTATTTTGCTTTAAATCTTGATTTAAAAATCGAGATGAAAGTGTGTGGGTTCGAAAAAAATATCGCTGTGCTCCGAAAACGAAGCTCTTTCAGATGATGTATAAAAAACGATACATTTTTCAAAACATAACGAACATAATAAAAGCTAACAGAGAATTTAAAATAAGATTTTATAAATATAAATTAATAAATATTTTTCGAAATCATTTGTTTCGCTGCTACTATCTCACCTGACTGATAACGAATATACGTTGTATCCGAGGAAATATGAAACTCCTTTAATTTTGCATTACAAATGCTATGTTAAATTAGACGATGTATACGGAACCGCGCATACAAAGTATATTCGTTATTAGTTTGGTAACAAATTAGCAGTTTTCTTAAGTTTAAATATTTAAACATAATTTTCAAAATAACCTTGGTGAGGTGTACCAGCTATGGCACTATCTCATTGGTACCAGATTTTACATTATACTCCATGGAGTTTAACATATATAGGCGGTATTAGCAACAATCAATACGAAACTAACGATTTTAAATTGGCTCACTACTTGACTAGGCTATTGGTCCCAAGCAAATCGATTAACGTACCCCATTCTAGTATAAACTCCAGTACTACACTATGTTTGTTTTGATTCGCTATGAAAGTTTGACAGATATAATGAGGGGTTCGTGGATTTTCCTATGTTTCAAGGGGCGCATCGATTAGCTCCTAAAATTGAATTTTTACAGAAATCATTACTTGAAATGATTACTAATATACTTAAATCTAACTCCATGTTTGATACTATTCAAACCGGAGTAAAATTTGCGAAAATATTGTCATGACTTTGAAATTCAGCAATGGATTTTAAATCATTAAATATTTTAAATTGGAATGTTCGATCTCTTAAAGAAGAAGACGAGCTATTTAACTTTTGGCTGCACAATTAATCATAAAAAAAGCGAAATAGCAATAAAAAAAAATCTCAAATTGGCCACTAAAAACTACAGGGGTGCACCAATAAACAAACAAAAAAGTTGCAATCCCACATAAAGCGCACAGTTATCACTGTTTAAATCAAAATATGCTGTAAAATCGTGATAATGTCCCCAAAAAGAAAATGAAAATATCTTTTAAAAACTGAAAAAGTTCCAGAAACCAGGAGATAAATAAATAAAATGCTTGAACATGAGGATGAGCAATCGTAAAATATGAATCGTTCTTAACCGTTATGTGATCGACAAAAAAACACCTTTAGGAGCTCGACAAGGGTACCCGGGTACCCACAAATTGAAATACTTGCTACTGCAGCCAATTTTGACCGATTTTGAATCTTTTGGCACCATAGGATTCAAAAACTTATCCTCTTTCTGGCCATTGCCAACAATGTCCATCCGGAATAGTCTGGTTCCCGGAAATCCGGATTTGCATAATGTTCCAGATCTAAGCATTTTCTAGCCACTTTCGCTAGAATTTCGAAGGAATCGATATCAAAGTATCAGAATCTTCTTCAAGAAACAATTTCAACTTACTTGAGGACCAGTTTAAGGTTTCTCCCCGGAACGGCCATTCCGGAGCAGGTTCCCGTAGGACCTATAGTTCCCATAGAAGTGTTTGGGAAGAAACCCCTACAATATGGGTATCAAAACTAATGAATTTACAGCAGAACACCGTTTATCATAATGTTGTGGTCATCCGATGGATTGTCCTCGGAACGGTCATTCCGGAGTAGGTTCCCGTAGGGCCTCTAGTGGCCATAGAAGTGTTTGTGATAATGTTGTGGTCATCCGATGGATTGTCCCCGGGACAGCCATTCCGGAGTAGGTTCAACAATCAATACGAAACTAACGATTTTAAATTGGCTCACCACTTTAGTAGCCTATTGGTCCCAAGCAAACGATTAACGTACCCTATTCTATTCGAAATTCTAGTACTACGCAATGTTTGTTTTGATTCGCTATGAAAGTTTGACAGATAAAATTAGGGGTTATTGGTTTTTCCTATGTTTCGAGGGGTGATTCGACAAGCTTGGGACCGAAGATAGTACCAGAGGTGAGCCAAAAAGTTGAGCACGTTTCTTCGGGACCTACTTGTCTTAGAGTTACCTCTATGGTAGGTTCCCGTAGGGCGTCTAGTGGCCGTTCCGAGGACAATCCATCGGATGATCACAAAATTATGATAAACAGTCTCCTGCTGTAAATTCATGAATTTTGATACCCATATTGCAGGGGTTTCTTCCTAAACACTTCTATGGTCCCTGAGGCCCTACAGGAACCTGTAGTCAACGGCCGTGGCTTTGTCTCGGTGGATAAAACCAATATTTCGGCTGAATTTCTCAAAGTTCGCGTACCTCGGGTTTTGGAAAACATCAATATCGTGCACGGAAACGTCAGTTTTCTCCTGCCCCGGAAGAAACACGTAGACTTTTCCATTATCCCAATCGTTTACTGTCCTGCATTTTTGCTCACTTTGCAACCAGCCTTTCCTGCTGCATCGTTCATTCCAGTGTAGTTTCAAGCGTTTGTCTTGTTGTCTCCGGTCTCGTTCTGTAATTAAGATTTGCCGTCGTCCATGGTTGTTCTCTGATTCTGGGAAGTTTCCTAACCGCCTTCTGTTAAGGAAGTTGGAGGCAAAGGGGTGCAAGTAACTTTGACTGTTTCTCTTCATCGACTTTCTCTTTCGTTAGTGACTCAGCAATAACTTTCATTGATGTGTATGCCATTCTGGATGGCAGATGAGAACCTCCTTTATCAAGGATCGATCAAAATCACTTGCACCCCTTTGCCTTCAACCCCTTCATTTGATTGTTGAAAAAAATGAGGCGATAGTTCGATCACAGACATAACACATTGAATAGTTTCCACTGTAAACCATCGTCACTAAAACACTACCGCCATCTGTTGAGAACACTGTCACGGGTAGCACGCTCAACAGGTGGCAGTAGTGTGTAAACGTCAAACGCAAGGAAATTAACAATGGGTGCCACCGGCGGAGGTGCTATCAACTAACACATATTTAAATTGACCGTTAAATGCGTGTTCGATGTACACAATGCGAGTGCTATGTATGTTTGTCTGTGGTTCGATGAAGATTTGTAGGTTTTCAGAAGATATTGTTTTCGTTCTTAGTGACCTTCATGGCCTACAAAATGCTCAATTTATTTTTCAAAGTGCTTTTTTTTTTTTTTTTAACTCTTTATTTGTTCCAAATTCAAAATAAATTACATTTCATTTTAACCTAGGTGCTCCAGTTACTGCAGTAACGTACCAGCCTTAATTGTTATGATATATATCTAAGTGTTTTTACATTGTTCATGTCTTGGCAATTCAGTATTTTAAACAGGTTTTTTAACCTGCATGTCAGTATAACAATTGATATCTTAAAACTAAAAACTAAAACTAAATCTTATCTAAGTATAAAGGGAATTAATCGTTGCAATTGAGGATTGCAACGATTTTTGCCTGAAATTATTAATTATTTTGTTGGACATTTGTGCTAAAGTCTCAACATTCGAAAGTCTATGTACTTCGGTTGTA